CCTCATGATCCGCCCACCTCAACCTCCCAAAGTGCTGGGATTACAAGCATCAGCTACCATGCCCAGCCTATTTTATTTTAGGAATCTAAGCGTCAACCCACTGAACAGAGATCTCACTTTTTTTTTAATTGCCCCATCTTGGTGCTGTTTCAAAAGGGTATCAAAGAACATTCTTCATGTTCACTGAAAGCTCTGTGCATGAAGTCTCTCTGGAAGCTGGCTGTTGATGATGGCTATCTGGTGGAAACCTGGAAGTGCCTTGTGAAGTACAGGAAAGGGTAGGAGGGAGTGGAGAACAGCTTTATGCCCTTAAAAAAAGACCATTGAGCCAGTTTTTGTCCAGGCTGGGTCCTTTGCCTCAGAAGTGTCTCATCCACGACATGGTAAGCAGGTAAGAAGTCATAGTTCCAGCTGAGAATAATGTAGATAGGGAACAGTGGGTATGGGTGGAAGGATGTTGTCTGTAGGACCAACCTTCAGCTAGAATGTGAAGCGAATGCTCTGGAGAATGGAGGCTCTGGTTGGGAACAGAGTTATCCTCATGCAAAAGGTACTTATCTTGAGACACTCTGTGGGAAACAGCTGGGTGTATGCATTCTTCTGTAACAACACACCTGCACGTGATGATATCTTACTGTGAAATGGGGGAAATTAATAGGCTACTAAAAAGTTTTTTAGCCTGAGCAATATGGTGAGTCCCCATCTCTACATAAAAATTAGCTGGGCATGGTGGCGGGTGTGTGTGGTCTTAGCTACTTGAGAGGCTGAGGCGGGAGGATCACTTGGGCCCAGAAAGTTAAGAAGTCAAAGCTGCAATGAACCATGATGGTGCCACTGCACTCCAGCCTGGGTGACACAGCAAGACCCTGTGTCTGTCTGTCTCTCTCTCTCTCTCTCCCTCCCCTCCCCTTCTCTCCCTCCCTCTCTCTCTTTCTTTTTTGAGACAGGGTCTTGCTATGTCGCTGAGGGTGCAGTGCAGTGGTACTATCTCAGCTCACTCTAGCCTCTGTTTCCCAGGCTCAAGCAATTATCGTGCCTCAGCCTCTTGAGTAGGTGGGATATAGGTGTGCACCACCACACTCAGCTAATTTTTGTATTTTTAGTAGAGACAGGGTTTTGCTATGTTGGCCAAGCTGGTCT